TATTCCTTCCACAGCACTTACTGTCTCTCTTGTATATATTGCCCTTGGGAGTGAAGGCACTGATTTCAGGGCCATGATAGGATTTTTTTTCAATTGCTCTGATTTGTTTTTAAACGAGAAAAAAGTGAGTTCTCTTCTCCCCAGAATGGATTGCTAACTGCAAATTGTTGACAACACAATATAGTTAGTAAATCTATGACTCCAACGTGCTCTTTGCAGGTGATTAGTCTGTGCAGTAGGCAGATGGCCATGGTATTTATTCAGTGGAACTATTTAAAAGACCGAAGTGCCATCAGTTTGTCAGGCTGCTGCATTTGAGAATGATCATGCTGTGTGCTGAAGCAGTGTATACATATTGTCCATGTCCCATCTATAATGTGCCATTTTGCACTGCTGTAATGATTTAGTTTCTCTCTTGTTTCCCCAGGGCTTAACAGCTTGGATGGGAGCCTTGACACAAATAGCTTTGCTTCTTGAAAGGATCCACCAAAGCAGCCGTGGAAAATAAACGTGTTGCATGATTTGCACTGGAGCATTATTCTCTAGCATCTTTTGAATTGTCTGATGAGGTGCTTATTTTAACTGTTCTTGCAGCATTCAGCTTATCCTCCACAGGGTGACTTCCCTAGTTGCTTCCACAGGTGCTTCCATAAGAAGTACCATGAAGCAGTGCATACATACATGGTGAGCAGGAGATGTGCAGAGGGATGGGCAGCAAAGGCTGTGGGTGTAACTTCCATACTGGCAGTGATACAGATACTCTGACTGGTGCCAGAGTGAATCCTGTCCATCTTTCCAATGCCTTTCTCTCCTTGCCCTCAATTGATTTTGAATGGTACCTCCTAAATCCTAACTAGGAGTTAGTTGTTGAGTGTTTGAGTCAAGAGGCTGAGGCAGAAGAGAGCAGAGCTAAACTGGGATGTTCCCCTGGTGCCCCTTAGAGGAGACAGAGAAGTGCATGCCCAGTGATTGCCTTTTTGTGATGACTAAGCAATGGTCATTGAGCCCCTTTCTCAGAGGCAGTGGGACTGTGTTTGGTGTGCAGCTGTGAGCCGGCAAGAGGATGAAGGCCAGCTCGCCTTAAGAAATATCCTGTGGGTCTCCTCTGCTCTGCCTGCCCCATACCTTGGAGGCATTCACTATCAGCCCATCTGCAGCAGAAGGGGGATAGGCCCCACTGGCCCTCGTGGTGCCTCTGCACCCAGCTGATGTGTGTGGTGTACCTAAAACAGCACCACAAATGGTGCAGCACAGGGGAGAAGGCAAGCTCACTACTAGCTGTGAGTTGTGACTACTCCTTTGCCCTTTGGTGCTCGAGGATTACACTCCTAAAAGCACACATGGGGTTGCCAGGGTACTCAGTCCCAGGTGCCTGAATGAATAGGTGACTCAGAGGGAAGTGTGAGAGGCAAACACTGCTGAAATAATTTATGGGTTCTACATGTGGGAGAGCCCACATCTTATTTGTGTATTAATAGTTCATGTTATTTGTGTAGTAATAGTTCATGTATTTGGTATATGAAAGCTCACTTTATTCAAATACATTTCTTCTATTCTAGCAACAAAACACCAATAATAATGTGGTAAAGCCTTTGTGTATGGCTGAAACTATAGAGACCAAAATTTGTAGCATGGAAGATGATTTGTAGTTGGTTTGATCAGTGACATCAAGCAGTGAGTTTTGGGAAAACACTGAAGTCCATATCCAACCATAATTTTGTCCCCAAACAGGTCCATTAAGTCAAGATTTTTAATTTTTTTGTTTGTTACTGTGTTTATACTGAAGGGAAGCCGTATTTTTCCAGGAGATACTGAGCCAGGCATCCCACAAAGGAGCATCTAATCCCTTCCCATGGTGCACACATTATAATTTGAGTTCTGTGTAGACATGAGGTACGAGCCATGGTACAGACGAGCAGGCAGAGCACAGGGAGAGGCGTGCTACAGCCCCACAGGAAGGCACACAGCAGCCTTGAGAAAAGTCTTGCACAGCCATCAGCAGGAGATAAAAAAATAAGCTGGAGTTATCACTACCCTCCCAAAGCATTTGTGTATAGCTAAGATATCATTTCCTGTACAGTCACACACATCATTGCATAGTGCCATGAACTTTGCTCTTATCAGCACCCTGATGGGAAAGCTGGGATTATTTACAGTAGGGCTTGTTTCAGTGTTCCAAGCTTCTTTTCGGTTAAAACAAAGAGCAAATGAAATATAAAATAGATAAGTAGGGAAAGTTAAATTGATTGTCCAGAACCGAGATATGATAGGCACAGGAAACTTAAGGCACTTCCTCTAGATTACCTTCTTTTCTGTATATTAGATACATGAAGCTTATTTTAAAAACTGGATAACTGAATAATTTATGTGTAGTGAAGCAGCAATTTTAAAAGACCCAAAAAACCCCCCAAACCTGAGCACATGCTTCAGGTTTGTTTTTTATTACAGAAGTATAGTATAGTTATCACTGTTAGTACCAATAGTGAAAATTGACTTCCATTTCAGTCCCTTCCATGAGGATTTAGGGTTTTGTATGGTGTATGCTATGTACATAGTATATAAAAAAGGAGTCCAAGAACTACAAAACACCTTTGGACAACTTCAGTCTGTCTCTTGATCTCAGGTCTTCAAAGTTTCCTCATTTGAATTTTGGGGACTTGGATCCTTTTCTCTCTGCCTGCTTACTGACCTTGATAAAAGATTTTTAGTCTAACACATGTTTAACAGCTCTGGGATTCCCTCCCAAATGAAACTAAAAATAGCTTTACAGGGAGCAGGATCAAGTTGTGCTGGACTCCACTGTACCTGGCAGCCAGCTACCGCTGAACTGCAGGCTGTGTGCAGGATCAGGAAATATTTTTATGTATATGTATTTTTTTATATATGTTAATTTTTTTTTTCTGCAGTGATGAAATGCTCAAGAAGCAGGTGTACTGGAAGTACAGAAAGGTACACTTCTACATAGGAAAGGTGAAGTGGGGGAAAAATCCACCCCAAACCCATAAACCTCGGTCAAGGGCTGCACCTCACCTTTCTTGTGTCGTTCCCCTCACAGGGTGGGGCACTCCCAGAGGCTCCAACAACAATGTTTATTTACAGATCCCAGGCACATATAGGATTCAGTGTGGAAAACAATATTTGATTGTGCTTTGAAAAAAACCAGCCAAGCTTACAGGCTTTTCTCCACAGTTTCTGAGGGTGATAGATGAGCTCTTCTTCCTCTCATCTCAGTATTTCCTCTGCCTCCAGCCCTGTCGCCTTTTAAAGCAGCAATGGGGGAATTTTATTATGTTTTATACTTTCATCTTCAGTGTTGATCTGTCCCTTTCTCCACGGGTCCCCTACAGCATGCTAATCCCTCAAGTCTCTTACACAGCGTAATTTTCATCTTAATTTTTCTGTATCTTAGTGTTTAATGGTTTTGCCAGGGGAACAGGGGGTCATTTCCTGTCCCCACCAGATCATTAATTCTCTATGAAAACACTGCAGTTCTCAAGCAAACAGAAACATTGGGAAGAGGCAATTTGATGTGCAGAACACTCAGCTGTGCTGCAGCAGCTGGAGGAGCAAAGATGCTGGTGTGCACTGCAGAGACCAGAATGGTCATTTGAAAAAACAGGGAGGAGAAATTATGTAAGAGCAGTAGAAAATGGCTGTTTAATTCCTTAACAGAAATGACGATGTCTGTTTTTTTCAGCTTAATCTGCTGAGCTGTCTCCTCACAGTCTTTATTTTTAGAAACAATTACTGTTTCTTTTTTTTTTATTTCCAAAACAACATCGGCCCAATGATTTTCTTTCTGATACTTGTCACTTTCTATATAAGACATTTGATTTTTGCTCTTGTTTTCAGCACTTGGGTATCTCTGCCTTCCTGTAATCTGTCTCAGCCAAAGCTGGAGAAAAAGGAAACAAACAAACAAACAAACAAAAAAAAAAACCCCAAACCCCCAGCCCTATATTTTGAATCTTTTCTGCAGAACATTTCATGAGATGGGAAAAATCCAGAATTATTATTCTTAAGCCAGCAGCAGAAGGGGGAAATAAATGACTCATGTGTTTACGTTTAAAAATCCTTTTTAAGCACTCAGATGTGCCTGATAAATTATTAGCATTTCCCCCAACCAGCTTCTGCTACCAACTCCTGGCATTTCTGTAGGTAGTCCTGTGTTCGCCGTAGTATCTTACTGCCAAATCCAAGGATTTACAGGTCTCAGGAGAGATTTAGTAGATTTCCCACTTCCTTGCCTTGGACATTTTTTAGCCTCTGTTTGTGGGTTTTTGTTTTTTCTCCTTTTCTTTAACCTCTTTGCAGGTTTGTTGATCTTACAAAACATCTGTGCCAGCAAACCACTTATGTAAGCACCAGAGCCAAGGAGTTTTTTACATGCTCTTAGATTCAGGCACATCCCCAAGCTGGCCTTTCACCCAGACAATTGCAATTTCTCCCTGTCATCTCCTGTCATCCCTGTACCAGAGAGCCTGCAGGACATAGGGAAGTGCTTTGCTCCCATGGGCCTGGGTAGCTGGGCAGTGGTGATCACATCATTTGCTCATAGAGAGCAGGATTCAGCTGTGTGCTGGTGAAAAATGTACATTTGGGGTGTGCTGGTGCTTTCCCATGGTAACAGAGTTGAAACTGGACAAGTTTCCATGGTGATTATTACTACAGCAGCATTCTCTTCACACTTTGGGAGAGGCATGGGCAGCACCAGGCAAAGCAGCCAGGCATCAGCCAAAGTCTGCTGGCAGCAGCTCACAGGGCAGAAATTTTTTATCCTTCTAAATAAATGTACGCATGTACCATTAATTTGCTGACTTTTTTTTTTTTTTCTTCCCCAGGACAGGGAAATGTTGATCTTTAGGGGAAAAAGGCTGCATATTTCACCACGATCATGAACAGAAAAAATCCCTGCCATTTTTAATTGCCATTTGCTTGGTTGATATAAAGAGTAGGGCTGTCAAACTGGATTTTAAGTTGTTTTCATTTTTTTTCCCCAGGTCTTTAATGAATCAGGTGCCTGGTTCACGTTACTATCTCTGTCTAGTTCTGTGGCAGGGTAGAGACTAGAGTTTTGGATGGTTTCGCTTTGCCATTGCACGGCCGTGCTCCTTTCTGATCCTGCACACAACAGTTGTGGGAGGAAAAATGGACAAGCGTTGAAGGGGAATGAAGTACCCTTCATGAATGGTTGAGTATTTCATGGCTGCAGTATTTTTAGAAATGTTTGTTTTGGGGCTTCTGTTGAGTTAAAACACCATGCTGTCACCCAGCGCTGACATGCATTGTCATTATGTGAAGCTGTGTTTAAAAATGTGGAATGGGCATCCTGAGTCCTTGTTTCAGGCTGTACTGAGAGGATTTTTTGGCTGCAGGCAGTCCTTAAGTATGTGTTTATGGCTAAATATAAGTTCCCCAAAATGTTTTGCACAACACTCAGTTCTGTATGTATATCCTGCATCTCTGTATATATAGTACGCTGTATATTGGGGCCGTTAGCTTCAAGTGTGGAAACGTTTAATGGCTTTTCCTTGGTGATAGGGTCTTTAAAGGCAGTTGCAAATATTATTTTAGGGAAGAGATTTATGTGGTGCCTAAAATATGCTTCTGGCTTGCAGGCCAAATTATGTCAGTGCTGATGCTGCTGGCAGCGTGGAGCCGTCGCGGGTCCCACTGACAGCGATGTAGAGGTGGTGGTGCTGGCAGAGACCAAGAAGCCCTGCGACATGGAGGAGCTGTACAAGGATGCCCCCAACCTGCCTATGGATGTCACCAACTCACCCTCGGCGATGGCCAACAACAAGCTGGAAAACGGGGTGGCTCAGCTGATCACAGCAGAGGCTTGGAACATCAACTCGGCCGACCTGATGAAGAAAGCCCTTTCGCCGCTGGTGACGGTCCCTGCGCCCTCCATCCTGACGCCACCGGCCGAGTCGCAGAGCGGGGTGGCGCTGAAGGTGGCGGCCACCGTGCTGCAGCCCATCTGCCTGGGGGACAGCCCCGTGGTCCTGCCCATCCACCTGCAGGTGGCCGGCAGCGCAGCCCCACAGATGCCGGCCGCTAATGCTGCCACCCCGTACGTGATGACCACGCAGGGCCCCGTCCCGCTGCCCGTGCTCCTGGAGCAGCACGTCTTCCAGCACCTGAACTCGCCCCTGGTGCTGCCGCCGGGCGCCGCCTGCCCCGCCAGCCCCCTGCACGCCGGCCTGTTCCCCGGCAGCGCCACGCCCGTGGGGCAGCCGCAGCTGCTGGACCCCAAGCCCGCCGGCCCGGCGCAGGAGCCCGTCCTGCCCCCGGTCTTCCAGACGCCGGGATTCGCCGCCGTCCTTCAGGACCTGTTTCCCTCGCAGGGCGCGCTGGGCTCAGCGCCCTGTCAGCCGCCGCCCGACTACGCCGCGCTCCCGCCGCAGGCCTTCGGCTCGCCCCTGTCCCCGCTGGTGCCGCCGGCGACGCTGCTGGTGCCCTACCCCGTCATCGTGCCCCTGCCCGTCCCCATCCCCATCCCCATCCCCGTCCCCATCCCTGTGCCCCACGGCGCCGAGGCCAAGGCGGCCGCTGACCCGCCCAAGCCGCCGCTCTTCACCCCCCACTCCTGCAAGGGCACCCAGACGCCCCTGGAGAAGGAGGAGACGAAGCCCTTCGAACTTCTCCACCCACGGGAGTTTCCGCAGCTGAGCCGCCACACTGTCATCAAGATGGGCGGCGAGAACGAGGCGCTGGACCTGTCCATGAAGGGGCCGCCCGCGCTCCGGGCCGGCGAGGCGCTGCCGCCGCCCGAGGACGGGGCGCTGGACCTGTCCCTCGCCTCCTGCCGCAAGCCGGGGGCGCCGCTCGGGGAGGCGGCCGGCCCCGCCGCCGCCGAGGGCGGTGCCCACCCCGCCCCGGACAAGCTGCCCGGGCCGGCCGCCCCGTTCGGGCCGTGCAAGCCCGCGGAGGCGGCGGGCAGGGCGGCCGAGCTGCTGCGGCAGCCGCAGAAGTGGCTGGTGGAGCAGGCGGGCAGGGCGGGCTGCGAGCCCAAGGCCGGCAACAACATCGAGATCGTCAGCACATCGCAGACAGCCAAAGTCATCGTCTCCGTCAAGGATGCCGTGCCCACCATCTTCTGCGGCAAGATCAAGGGCTTGTCGGGGGTCTCCACCAAAAACTTTTCCTTCAAAAGGGACCTGCCCCAGGACTCGGTGCTGCAGTGCTACGATGTGAAGAGCCCGCCCGAGCCCCGGGACAGCGCCGAGGCCCTCAGGAAACCCGTCAAAAACAGGAGCGTAAAGCTAAAGAAAATGAACTCGCCGGAGATACATATTCTTCCAATCAAGAAGCAACGGCTGGCTGCCTTTTTTCCAAGAAAGTAAATTATGGGTTTTTAGAATTTTAAGATTATTATGAGAAGAAGAAAAAAAATAATTAAAAAAAAAAAAGATGCACTCGGTTTTAAACTCATTTAAAACTTTAAACTATCTTTGTAAGTTATTTTTGGGGGAAGAGGGAGAGGATTGGATGTAGAGGCCCTATAAGCTGGGTTGGTTTGGTTTTTTCTTTCGTTTTTGGATTTTTTTTTTGTTACCAAATTTTGACTTTTCATGGGAAACTGAATAAAAAGCAACCTATTTTTCAAGCAGATTGCACATTTTGCAGCTTTAATGGAGTAATGGATGAGTCAGAGGGGTAAGAGCTATTTTCACTGCCATAAAGTGCTTTGATGATGTAACTCTTCATAACAGTTGGAATGGAAATTTCAAAATAAATGTTTGTACGTGCTAATTGGTTGTGGCATTTTTTTCTCATTTCCGAATTGCTTTCAGTCTACAAAGAAGGTTGTGCAAAATGCCTGTAAGCTGTAAAGCGCTGCAACTGACTTGTGATGAGCCTAAAATCTTAAAAAAAAAAAAAAAGTAGGCTAAGAAAAACTACCTTGTCCTGCAGCAGTGTTGCAGAGCATGAGAGTGAGTGCTCCAGCCTAGTGCACACCTAAGACAGGTTCATTGTGAGACACCCATAGCAAACCATCTTAAGTAATGTTATCAGTCATTTAAAACAGAAAAGCCTAAAAGGGGAATTTGGTTGCCAGGGGGCAGGAGGGGAAAAAAGAATCACATAATTTTTCTCAGCCTGAATACAGCTATACGGAAAAGTTGTTTATTGTTGGATTCCTAAGTTTCTTTGATGGCTGATATCAATGCAAAGCTGTGTAACTTTTATCACTCAGCAGTGTACAAAGCTGCCCATGTCAATGGAGAGATGTGAATGTACAGTTAAATAAAGTTCTGCTAGGTTACAGTTTTGCACTTGTCTGTAGAAATGAGGTGGAGGTGAAATACTGTTCGTGGGCTTCAGAGTTCACACAGCTCACTGGTAAAAAGAGATCCTGATGGAATGACAAATGTGAGAGCAGGAGGACAGTTTTTGGTGGGTCCTGCTTTTTTTTTTTTTTTTTTTTTTTTTGTGGCTATACCAGTAGAAAACTTTTGTTACAATTTCAAATTACATGTTCCTGCAGGGCAGCAGGACTATCTGAATAAAAAAAGCCAACTGGATGCTGTCACATGCTAACTATGCCTGCCTCGCTGCCACCAGCCTAAGACTCCTCTTGGACAGCTTTGGGAAGGTTTTTGCAGTTGTTCATACAATGAGAAATTGCACAAAGCAGCAGCTTCAGTGTCTCAATTCTTCTCACACCCATAGGCATCAGTGTTATGCCAAAATGTGCTTCAAATTTTGATAGCAGCAGGCACCAGTTCAGTATTTGGAAAATGAATCTGCAGTATGAGGTTAGGAAAGGCATTATGTTTCTCTTTTCCTTGGCTGAAGGATCACTGCCTTCTTGTTCAGTACAAAAAAGGAAGACTTTCACATAGGCACAGCATCAGTTCTGTCAAACTCTTGCTTTTTAAGCATTTTAAAGCCTTTTATTTTTCCCTGAGGTGACAAAAGTGACAACATTCAGAAAAGCCTAAAGTGTTGATGGATTCATTAATGTTTAGTCATCTGACTGTATTTTTTTAAGTATTTTTTTTTTATTTAAAATACTCAGCTACTTCATTTTTCTCCTTCCAAGAAACTGCTAATAAAATATGTCATCTGTTTATTGCAGTGCAGAGGCTGAGGATTTCAATGTCCCTTGGGATGGCCATCCCAGTTGTCACTGTCCGCTTCTATTTCAGCCTGCCTGTTCTAGAGTGTCAAAAAACCTTCTGATAATGTGAATTTTCTCCAGGGCTATACCACAGTAAAATAAGGCGGTCACTGAATTGGCCACTGTCATTTTTATTTTGCAGTTGACAGAAGCAAGTTCAAAAGAAATTTAATTTCTTTTTTTTTAAAGAAGTGTTTCACACTGGTGGTGGCATCTGCTGCACCAACTGTACAAATCCTTGCTGTCCTTTCATGAATCATTCCCCACAGCATCCTCAGCAGGCAGAGAGGGCATCCATCCACTGCTGCCCTACTGCTGATAGCTGGGACAGGCAGAGCTTGTTGGTGGCACTGGCTGCAGGTGCTCAGCTTTTCCCTCCTCTCCTCCAGAAGCCTGTACTGGGAGCATCAGTGCTGTGGTACCTCCCAGCCCACTGTGCACACAGAGAGGTCTGGTTTAACTGAATTTAGACCACAGGCTCCAGAAACCCTGACAACAAATAAGGCTAAATCAGCTTTATGACATTATAAACCCATACAAGTGCTGTCAAAACAGCCAATGCCTGGGGACAACAAATTGAGTTTAAAGCCAACTGGTGCTGGTTGTAACAGTAGACCAGACCAGCAGCCATGTGGCTGCATCTTGCCCCAGTCCCTTGGAGGGGTAATTGCAGCCTCTTCCTTCTGAAGCAGGGCTGAGGAAAACCAGAGCAGGCTCCAATTATCCCACCATCCCTCTCTGCCACTCCAGGACAGCCTCCCTGACTTCACAGGGCCAAGATGGGCAGGCTCCCTGCCACTGCCAGTTGCCACCAACATCCTCAGAGCCTGTGACACAGGCTGGAGTCACTCCCCTAGAGATGGATAAGCAGAGCAGACAGGGCTCAGCCACCCCGCTGCCTGCCTTTTCCATTGCTCGAACTGCAGGGGCAGGGGAATATTCTCAACAGCATCTTCCCAGGAAGGCTTAGGACAGCTGCCTTAGCCTGCTGCCATTTCATGCAACCTCAGGCTTCAAGGCTGTGCCATGGGAAGAGGAGGCACACACTGGCACCTCTCCTGCTGCTGAACTCTGGTGGGCAAATGATGCTAAGTAGGGGCCTTGCCTCCCACCCCCCTCATGTGTAAAGCACAAGTCTTAACATCCCATCAGCACGGGGGAGAAGTGGCCATAGAACAAAGTACTTAATTACACCAAGATTGAGCACTTTCACCTCCTCCTCCTCCTCCTCGCCTCTAGCAGCAATTACAGATTTTGTATATTGGGCCATTAATTTTCTACAGGGCTACATTTTAACTGCTTCTGGAACTTCTATATGAGGAGAAGGATGCAGAGCTACACTCATGATATATGGAGCTTCCATTTCTGGTGGCTGTTAATGGAGACATTAATACCTCTAGTGAAGTTGAAGGGAAAGTCATTAAGCTGTAATGGTAGGAGGAAGACATTTTACAGTGATGAGTATATGCGAGAGGGAAAGAGAGAGCAGAGGGGGAGAGGAGCCGTGCCCTCAGGGGCGCCCCTGGTTGGCTCCAGTCTCCATGTGACTTGGACTTTGGGTGTGGGGTCTTATTAGGGAGTGAGTGAGAGGGTAGAAGGTTGTCGGGTCCTGTTGCCTTTCCCTCTGCTCTCTTCCCCCTGTCAGGCAAGGGCTTTGCAGGAATCCAGAAACAAAACCCAAGGTGGGCAGAAGGGCTGCACATCTCAGATGAAGGCCATGGGACAGGGCAGTCTCGGGGGAAGGAGTTCTCAGATGTACCAGCTTTCCTACACAGGACTGCCTTTCCCCCGTGCTGCCAAAGCACAGCTTCAGGACCAGGTGTGCACACCTAAGGCTTTCATGTGTGGAGTTAGCTGTTAGGAAAATAAATTAATCCAAAAGAAGAAGGAGCAGCTTCTCAGACAGGGAACTTACCTGGACTGGGCAGTTTCTGGGTTGGGAGGACACCAAGCAGTCAGGTAAGGCACAGACAACTGTAAGTGCAAGGAAAAGGTGGAGAATATGGAAAGGAAAGCAGGCAATGGAAGCTGAGACAAGATCCAAGCCTCTTAGTGTTGCACCTTTATTGAAGTTAGCAAGCAGCCAGCCAGAGAATCAAAGGGAGAAGCAAAATGACAGCCTTTGGCCATGAGCTGCTGACAGAGAGAGAGAAAAGAAGGGCATCAGCTTCAAAGACACTGCTCAGGCTACTTGGTGAGAGCAGGGAGAAAGACAGGCACTGAGCTCAGAGAGGGCAATGCTTTCTTGGGCTGAAGGCAGCCAAAAAGTGAAGGCTGGCAGAGACCATATATCAAACCATATATGCAGAGCATGCAAGGCAGTGCATGCTCCTCCTGCTCCTCCTGCCCTGACAGCAGGGGACAAGGGGCAGCAAAACCATCCCAGCAGAAATGCAAAGGGAAGCAGAAGAGCAAAGGTAGCTGGTTTTGCCTTTCCCATGCCTGAGGTAACATGTATGACCTGTATTTCCTACCACTCACATTCCTATCTGCTGTAAAATTGGTATGCCATGATGTCTCACAATCAGTGCTCACTTTTTTTAACCACTTCTACCCATTTTCTGCTCAGGCCTCCCAGAAAGAACACTGGGATGATTGCACCACCTTGCACATCCCTGCAGAGGTTTGACCCATAGGTGCTCAAGGATCAGCTTCACACACATGCACATGAAAGGTTTCAGGGGAAACCATTTGGCAGAGAAGTGGCCAATGGACATGGAAGGGAATGAATCTGAGAAGTCTGTGCCCTTTCACTTGTAGAGAGGCAACTTGGGACTGTGATCTGACAATAGTAAGTGACTTGTTAACAGTTCTCATGAAGAATATTAGACAATGAAAACAGCATAAAACAACATTGCATAATATCCTGCTGCCAGATGTTTTGTTTTTGTGCTCAAGTTTATAAAAACATGTTGAAGGGCTAAGTCAAGGACCTTGTTTTCCTCTGGGGTCTGTTCCTGCCTTCCCAAAGGCAGACAGCCTAACACAGTGACATTAATAATGTTAATTTGTGCAATTTCCTTTTTTTCACTCACCTTTCACTTTTTTTCCCCCAATGCTTCTTCCTCCTCCTATTTAAAGTTGCATTTCTCTTAGATTATACTACATACCCCTGAAGTTTTCAATTCAGAGTACTCTGGGGCAGTTTGAGACACACAAGCAAATCCCCCAATTTTAGTGTGGAAAACCTATTTTCCACAGTTGTTAAAATCATGGTATTGCAATCCTGTTAGGAAAATCTGTTTTGTTGTTGAACCATCTGAAACATTTCTTCATGTTTGGGTAGAAGTATTACTAATCGCTAAAATATTTAGTACTGCTTTTTGCCCATATACCCCAGGCTCTCTTAGAATACCATAATATCCCAGTACTGAAATTATTAGGATTCTTCCAAACTAAGATATGGAAATTAAAAGAGCAAACAGCGGGTACAATCTAATCAAGTATCTGGAAGGAAGGACTATTTCTACTATTTTCCAAGTGGAAGATCATTTTTTCACTGTTTGGAACTGTGTTTCCAGTGAAACTCTGGTAACAGACACGTTGCATCCCTGTATCGCCCTGTGTCTCCCCCAGCTTGCTCCTGGGATAACTAATGTTCCTTAGGCCACAGCTGTTTCAAAATGGT